ATATCTAATAACCCAAGAGAAGAATCATAAACCGAAAAAAAAAAAAAAAAACTCAAACCCAAACATTTACCTGCGTGTTTTGTTGTTGTTTTAGTTTTAGTTTTTTTTTTATTTAATCGAAACTCAAAAGTTTTACCTGAAGTTTTCATCCGTGATTCCGTTGATTATTCATCTCCGTTATCCCTTCACAACGAATAAAAATTTATGTTTCGAAATATAAATTCGTTAGATTAATTAACGGATTATAAAGTGTACGATAAAAAAAAAAAAAAAATTACGAAATTAAATTTCCATTCATTACAACGTGTCCCATTCGAAAAAAAAAAAACCACACGGGCCGCCATCATCATCATCATCATCATCACCACCAACATCATTATCATCATCAACATCATCATTCTCGTCGTCATCATCATCGACAACAACAACCGAAAAAAAAAAAAAAAAAATATGCATTTTAATTTTATAATAAAAACATATTCGACTGTTTCTCTCTCTCTCTCTCTGTCTGTCTGTCTGTTTGTCTCTCTCTCTCTGTCTGTTTGTCTCTCTCTCTCTGTCTGTCTGTCTGTCTGTCTCTCTCTCTCTCTCTCTCTCAGTTTTTCTCTATCTCTTCCTGATTATATATTATTTTTTTAATTCTCATTTTTATTATTTAACTCAATTTATTAAATATCTATTTTATTAACTCAAAATTTTCTCTTGCAAAAAAAATTCTCCCTCGACCGCCACGTTCTCCTGCCACGTTTGACGAAAAAAAAATAAAAATTAGAATATTTAATGAGTGTATTGACATCGTCGTTTCGTAAATGTCAACAATTCACCAATTTTTTTTAAAGACGCTTCAATAAAAAAAAAAAACGACTAAAAATTTAAACAATAATAATAAATTTTTATTTATTCTCCTTCTCCTTCTCCTCCTTCTCATCATTATTATTATTATTATTTCTTTTTAATAATAATAATAATAAACGATTTGTCGTGAAATATGAATATTTTTTTCCACCATTTTCTTAACGGCATACAACATTTCAAAAACCCCCCAAAAAAAACAAAATTTTAATTATTTTTTAAACGACGAGGGTGGTGATAATGATGATGACGATGATGATGATGACGACGATGATAATGATGATGATGATGATAGTGATGATGATGGGGACCCGTGAAAATTTTTTTTAAAAAAAACAGACGACGAAATTTACATTCGACAATTTCGCCCCCAACTTCCAAAGATTTTAATAAAAAACTTGAAACGTGATCGTATATACGCACACGCACGCATACACGCACACACGCACACACGCTTGAATCAAAGTGGGCGTAGGCACCTGGATGTGGTGCCTTTACGCCAGGTAAAAGATTTTTTTTTTTTTTACATCACCGAGTCATCCGTTAAAAACTAAAAAAAAAAAAAAACTTGATTACATGTTTACCATACGACAAACGAAATAATAATAATAATAATAATAATAATCAAAGCGCAACCGTTAAAACTCGATTTATTATTACTATTACTATCATTATCATCATCATCATTATTATTATTATTATTATTATTATTATTTCATTGGTTGAAACGTATTTAGTGTTCGTTTCAAGTCGTGTCGAGTGCGTCGTCGTCGACGAAAAAATTATTATTATTTTAAACCGTTTCGTTTTTTTCTTTTTCTTTTTCTTTTTACCTCTTTCTTTCGCTCTCTCTCTCTCACCCCCCCTCTCTCTCTCTATCTCTCTCTTTTATTTTTCCGTTTCTGTTACGTTTCGAAAGCGTGTTATAAATTTTTCACATAGTGGTGTTTTTTATAAAGAGAAAATGAAAAAAATTTAAATTTTGTGAGTCGGTGAATGAGAAGAAATAAGAACCGTAAACGTAAACAAACGTAACGAGAGGGAAAAATCGATCGATCGATAGATCGATCGAACGATTAATCGACGATACAATAAACAATAAAAAACTCGCCGATATGGAAAACAACGACAGCAAATCGACGGAAAGGAAAAATTTCTCCATGATAAAGGTAACGTCACTTATAACACCCCGCGCGCATACTTTCTTTCGTTTTATCATTATTATCATTATCATTATTATTATTTCGTACCCGTTAAATAAAAATGTCTTCCCATTATCATTTGCGTTTTATTATTAACAACCGGAAACCGGAAATTTATTATTTTTTTTTTATCAATCAAACAATCGAATCCAATGAAAACGTGACACGTACGCACGTATGAAAATCACGAACGCGTAAATTCCAGTTAATTATTATCAAATGTACATAATTTAAAACTTTTCTCTCTCTCTCTCTCGTAGACATTTCAAATTACTCTTTCACTCTCTCTCTCTTTCTCTCTCATTACAACGAGTTTTAAATTTGAAAATAAAAACAAAAATAAACATTACAAGACGTTCGTTAGTGCATTCGAATTATTATTTAAAAAAAATTTTTTTTATGTTTTACGTTTTGCTTTGTTTTTTTTTTTTTATGTTTTTGTTTTGTTTTTGTTTTGTCTTTTAATTCATTTCGCTTGGTTATTTCGCCTTGAATTAAATCTTTATTTAAGAAAACAAAAAACAAAACAATACGCGTACAAGTTTTTTTTTTTTTTAAATTTTTTTTGCTACAAATTTCCATTTTTAATTGACAAACTGACGTAATCGTTACAATGTTCATAGATTACTACTCGTCGGGTTTAAAAACGACTCCTCGATTAATTTCTAATAATAATAATAATAATAATAATAATAATAATAATAATAATAATAATAATAATATGACGAGCCCCTATTTACGTCGTCCCATTCATTCATTTACACCCTTTAAAAAAAAAATATTATCCAAAAAAAATGAGGAGACTTGATGGGGAAAATGGGGGGAAGGCGTCTGATGCCCGATATTTTGTTACCTTTTGAATTTTTTTTTAAATTCATTTTACGAATCCATTTAATTGTTTGTTGTTGTTCTCTCTCTCTCTCTCTCTCTCTCTCTCTCTCTCTCTCTCTCTCTCTCTCTCCCCCTCCGACTTCTCTTTTCGAATTCTTACGTAACGATAAATAATAATAATAATAATAATAATAATAATAATAATAATAATATTAATATTAATATTAATAATAATAATATTAAAATAAATATTTTTTTACGAAATTCGAAAAGGTCAAGGTAATGATTTATTTATATTATTATTATTATTATTATTATTATTAAAACAAAAGAAAAACAAGAAAATTTTTTTTTTAATGTAAGTTTTCATCAGATGACAAAAAAAAAAAAAAAAGAACACCGACCGGGAAATGAAAATAAAACGAAAAAGAGAGAGAGAGAGAGGGGGGAAAAGAGAGAAAGAGAGGGGGGGAAGAGAGAAAGAGAGAGAGAGAAGACTGTGACATTTTTTTTTTTTACTCACAACCGAAAACAAATTTCGTTACATATAAATAATAAGTTCACGTAATATTTCGAAATTAATCATCCGAAAAAAAACAAAAGGAAAATTGACGAGGCTGGAAACGGTGCGTGCCTTTTCACGAGCAGACGAAATATATTATTATTATTATTATTAAAAATAAATACAAGGAAAATAAAAATAAAAATAATTCAAGAGAAAAAAAATAATGTTAGATAATTTTAAAAAGATTCGAGTCGGTCGGCGAAATAATAAATTTTGGCAATTTATAAATAAAATCGTGTTGGAGGCTCGTCTAATGCCACGACCAATTAAATGAAAAAATTTTTTAATTATTATTCTCTTTTATTAGATTTTATAATGCATATATTTGACGATTTCAAATCCTTCCTCTCCCATCTCCCTACCCTCCTCCCTCTTCCCCTCATTATTTTTTTTTCTTCTTCTTGGAGATCCGCCAGTAAAATGATAATAATAATAATTTTTTTTTAAAGATCTTTCATTACCCCTAACTATTAACCTCTATCAAAGTCTAGTTCTAGGTTAATCTTTTTAAATTACAATTTTAATTGATCTTTTGATTCCCCCCCCCTCTCTCTCTCTCTCTCTGGAATTTGAAATTCCTTCTTAAAGAAAAGGACAACGTGAGAAAAAAAATTTTTTTTTTCGATTCGAAAAATTCAGACTCAAATGATTACGCCAACGCTATAAATTTTTTCTCGCGAACGCAATCAATATGGCGAACTCGTGATGTTTTTTTTTTTTTTTTTTTTTTTTGGCTCGTCACCCAAAAAAAAAAAAAATTGACTTTAAATGCGTAATATTATGACTTACCATTGACATCCTTTTGTCTTCTTCTTATTCTCCCTCAAGAAAAGGAAACGACGAGAAAATTCATTGATTTGAAAAATCAATAAAACGATACCTGAAATGAAAAATTAAAAAAAAATTAATTATTTCCGTTGACAGGGAATGAACAAACGTTTGGCATTTGCCATCGTTGCGGCTGCTTTGTGGTCATCTTTTCAACATGGTTACAATATAGGAGTTGTCAATGCTCCCGAAAGGTTGATAGAGGAATGGATTTACGATTTAGAATCGAATAGAACGGATACGATAGTCGAACAAAGTCAAGTCACCATTATATGGTCGATAGCTGTGTCTATTTTTTGCGCCGGAGGTATGATAGGAGCCTGCAGTACCAGTTACGTTGCCGAAAAATTTGGTAGAAAGGGTGGACTGTTGCTGAACAATATATTTGTCCTCATTGCAACCGTTTGTCAAGGTATGGCTTGGACTGTAAACTTTACCATCGGTTACATTCATTGTATCTAAATTAAATTTTCTCTTGTCAAGGATGTGCCAAATCGTCAAATTCATACGAGCTGTTAATTTTGGGAAGGTTTGCTATCGGTATCAATTCAGGTTTAAATGCAGGTTTGGCTCCATTGTATTTAACCGAAATATCTCCAGTGAGATTGAGAGGAGCGGTAAGTATTAAAATGCGTTAATTTCCTAAGTAAATACTTTTAACTTTTCTTTTCTTTTAAGGTGGGAACCGTGTACCAACTAGGTATAACAATATCAATTTTAATATCACAAATTTTGGGTTCGGAATCCGTTTTGGGAACTGAAGAACTTTGGCCCGTTTTATTAGCCCTCACAATCGTTCCAGGAATATTACAATTGATATCATTACCGTTTTGTCCGGAAACTCCAAAATATTTATTGATAACAAAAGGAAAGGAATTAGAAGCTCAAAAGGGTAATACTTAATAAACTTTCGTTGTTATTTAATTAATTAAAAATATCACATGGTTCTTGTCTCTTTTTTTCTTTTAGCACTACTATGGCTGAGAGATTCGACAGAAGTACATGACGAAATGGATGAAATGAGATCTGAACATGAAAAAATGAAATTGGTACCAACGGTGACATTTAGAGAAATGTTTACGAACGAAGCACTCAGAATACCTTTAATCATAGCCATTGTTGTAATGATAGGTCAACAGCTTTCGGGTATCAATGCTGTAAGGATGCCTGTAAACCTTTACTACTATCCCAAAAAGATTAACAACTATATTATTAATCGATAATTATTTTTAAGGTCATGTTTTTTTCAACCAAAATATTCAAAATGAGTAATTTGACAGATGAAAGTGCACAATATGCAACCATTGCTATGGGTACATGTAATGTGGCAATGACGGTTGTCTCGTTGGTACTAGTGGAAAAGGCAGGAAGGAAAACACTTCTTCTCATCGGTTTCGTTGGAATGTTTTTTATTGCATTAATATTAACGATTTGTTTGGCTTTTGCTGTAAGACATTTTTTTTTTTTTAAACAATAAGTAATTTTTATTTTGTGAGTGATGACCTACAGGAAATTTTTATTGTTTTTTAGGAAAAATCAATTGTCGTGTCATATCTTTGCATACTTTTGGTACTACTCTTCGTGATTACGTTCGCAGTTGGACCTGGATCCATACCTTGGTTTTTAGTGACAGAATTATTCAATCAAGGAGCAAGACCAGCAGCAACATCAATTGCTGTTGCTGTCAATTGGACGGCTAATTTTCTAGTAGGATTAGGATTTTTACCCTTACAAGAATTGATAAGAGAATATGTTTTCATAGTATTTGCTATTTTCTTAATATTTTTCATACTTTTCGTATGGAAAAAACTTCCAGAAACTAAAAATAAACCAATCGAAGAAATTTCAGCCATGTTCAGACAGATATCATATCAATAATTTTTTTTTTTATCTCAACATTTAATTTAAAATTTATTTATTTTTTTTTTCAAATAGGATTCATTAATTATATTCGTAAAATATTTTTTAATACATAAAAAGACTGAATAAAAACAAAATAATAATAATTATTATTATTAATTGATAATTTTAAATAAAAAAATATGACTCGAATAATTTATTAACGATAACAAATTATTCTTTAATGATTTCTATATATATATATATATATATATATATATATATATATATATATATTTATAATCAAATTTTAACTATTTATTTTATTTATTACAATCTATTTACTATTTTTAATGTCAGATTGTGTAGAATGTGTGTGTGTTTATTCCAGTGAAAAATATAATTTTAATAAAAATATTATTAATAATAAATAAAATATAGTTAAAATTTTTTTTCCCTATCAATCACCTTGAAATATTAAAAAATAAATAAATTCACTTACTTTAAATACTCGTTTCAGTTATTATTAAATATTTACATAGAAACCTGAAACAAAATCAAAAACAATATCAAAGGTATGTTTTAAATAAGATATGAAAGAAATAAAAACTAAATAATGGATTTCAATTAACAAACTATTCATTTTGCAATGCTTTTACTTTATTTAGAGAACGAATTCGATTGAGTGTTATAAGGCAAAAAAAAAAAATTATTAACGAATACATTCACTAATTGTTGTCTTTCTTCGATTAATTCTCCATTAAGCATACTTTCATTTGTTATTTTATAATAATAAATTAATTTAAGTTAGTATTATTATAACAAAAACAAAAGAGTTAATTGTTATTTTATTAAGGTTTAATCGATTTTAAATTTTAATCCTTTTTAAAGGAGAAAAATTAATAATAATAATAATAATACAATGTTAGATGAAGTTGTTTTTTTTTAAATTAAAAATTTATTAGACAATTTTGTATCAAACAAAAAAATTTCTCAAAGGCATTAAAAGATGAGAAAGGTTAATTTTTTCACAATGTTACTAAAGTTATTATGCCAGAGTTAAGTTAAAAAATAAATAATAATAAAACGTACTTTAATATCATTAGTAATGAATTTATTTAATTATGACGTGATGTAATTGTTACTGTATTTAATTATAAAATAATTAAAGAGTACAATGGTAGTATAACTAAACAAAGAATAACCAAAAAGTTTTTCTAATTCGAAATAAATATAAACAAGGACAAATATTACTAAAGAGAAACGTGCCTTTTTTGTGCGGCACATTTCCCATAGCAAAACCTTTGGATAACGTGACGATTATTTGACATTCAAAATTATTTGAAAGTCGTTTGCAAGTTTTTTTTTTTTTAAAAATAGAATCATCAAAATCGAGTTTTTTTTTTTTTATATATATTTATTTTATTAAATTTAAAAACAAAAGAAAAAATGGGTAGGAAATTTTGGGTTGGTGGAAATTGGAAAATGAACGGTACTAAAAATTCTATTGAAGAAATAGCAAATTTTTTAAAAAAAGGACCACTTGATCCAAACACTGGTAAAGTTTTCTCTTTAAAAAAAAAAAAAAACTATATAAATTTGAATGATTTTTTTAATTAACTTTTTTTTTCCGCCGTTAAAAACGAATAATCTGTATGTACTTATTCAAAAAAGAAAAGCTCAATATTTAAAAATTTATTATTACAATTGTAGAAGTTGTAGTTGGAGTTCCTGCTGTTTATTTAAATTTTGCTAAAGAAAAGCTACCTGAAAATGTTGAAGTTGCTGCTCAAAATTGCTACAAGGTTCCTAAAGGTGCCTTTACTGGTGAAATAAGTCCATCACAACTTTTAGATAATAATATTCATTGGGTTATATTGGGTCATTCTGAAAGAAGAAACATATTCGGAGAATCCGATGAAGTATGTAGTAAAATCATTGAATAATTTTTTTTAAATTTTCATTTCAAAAACGATAACCGACAAGATTTTCTTAAACAGCTTGTGGCAGAAAAAGTCAAACATGCATTAGAAGAAAATCTTTGTGTTGTTGCTTGCATTGGTGAAAAATTAGAAGAAAGAGAAGCAGGTCAAACAGAAGCTGTCGTTTTTAGACAAACAAAAGCCATCGCAGATAAAATTTCAGACTGGTCAAAGATAGTATTGGCATATGAACCGGTTTGGGCGATTGGAACTGGAAAAACTGCCACACCAGAAGAAGTAACCTTTTATTCAATTTAAACATTATGAATTATTCAATGGCACATACTTAAATATTTTCTTTTTTTGTTATAAAAGGCTCAAAAGGTTCACAATGCTTTGAGAAAGTGGCTTAAAGAAAATGTATCGGAAAAAGTATCAGAAGAATTGAGAATTGTTTATGGAGGCTCAGTGACAAGTTCAAATTGTAAAGATTTAGCAAAAGAAAAAGATATTGATGGATTTTTAGTCGGTGGAGCATCATTGAAACCAGAATTTGTCGAAATTGTTAATGCTCGAAAGTAATTTGAGAAAAAAAAAAAACAGTTTACATTTAAATATTTTGATAATTTTTTTAAATAAATAATTTATATTATTATTATTTTTGTTTATACGTCAGAAAAAAAAAAAAAAACTATAATGAATTTAAGTTTATATATTAAAAAAAGCACATGAAGGTAATAATTTTTTTGTTTTTTATATTTATCTAATAAAAAAAAAATTTATTAAAAATTTGTTATTTTCTTAAATTCATTTACGTTAAAATCCCATAAAATCCCATAAAATCCCCTAAAATCCCATAAAATCCCATAAAATCCCATAATAGATTTATTTAAATAAATTTATTTATTTTAATACAAAACAAATTTTTGTCAACTCTCATAACATTTCATAATATTGATTTCGTAATCGTTTTAATATTACGTAAAAATTATTTAAGTTATATTTCTTATTACCGATAATCAATTAAATCAAAAAATTCACCCGATTTATAAATCCCCATAAAGACAAACTAAAAATAACTAATTAATTTTTTTTTTAAGCTTTTAAAAAGAATTTAATCCCTTCCTCATCTTTATTATTATTATTATTATTATCATTAATAAATGTTATTATTTCACTGAGATAAAAATAAAAAAATTTTACATAATAAATAAATAAAAATAAATTTACCACCACCACCACTGTTTATTAATAACTTTTTCTTTTTTTTTTTAAAAGATAAAAAATAATAATAATAACAATTAACTTGCAACTTATGATAGGAAAGCCCAGAACCCCAAAAAAAAAATTTATGAGGAAGTTTGGGAATCCCAAAAAAAATTGCATGGACGGTATCTGAAGAGAAATGCTTCAGCCACTAACAAGAAAAGCACCCAAAAATAGTTGAGGTGTGGAAAATTAAAGGTTTAAGGAGAAGCGTTTCTGACGGCTGCACAAGACATTTCGGACCCCCAACTGTGAGAAGGTAATTCTCAGAGTCCCCCAAAAAGATATGTACCGAATTTGCCAATTACGATCGGAAACCATCGATCAAATTTAATTTCCGGTTGTTCGATATTGCCAAAACATGAATACCTGGAGAGGCACAATAAACTCTGTAAATACCCACAATGGAATATCTGTCGCGAATAAGGAATAGAGGAACTATCCAAAGAATGGTACAACCACATACTCTCCCCCCCCCCCGGTTAAGGATCCATGCATGGTTCTCTACGATCAACAAATCCACACTGACAGAACACTTCCAGCCAACAAACCGGATATCATTGAACCGATACAAAATTCTGTAATAAATTGAAGTATCCCTTCCGGCGGAAAGAAAAACACGAGACAGCCAAAGAATCGGGCAAAATGCTGAAACGACCAGGATGTTGGGACTAAAGACAGACACTATTCCAATCATCTCTGGAGTACCCGGAGCCATGACACATTCATTAAAAGGAAATTCAAACGAAATTTGAGCATTTATTCCTAAGGAATCAGGCACAGACCTGGAATAAACGGTGGAAAAGTGCATGGAATGGAATGAATCGTATTTAACGCGTTCAATAATGTAAATAATAATAATAATAATAAAAATGTGTTAGTGAAAGTGTGCTTGTGCGTGCGTGCGCGTGTGTGCGTGCACACACACGCACATGGCACAAATGGCAATGCGTTCGTTTGACGAGCACGAACCAAAAAAAATTAATAATAATAATAATAATAATAATAATAATAATAATAATATTAATTAAATATAACCACGCCTTTACCGTTCGATATATTGAAGGGCTTAATAAAATTCAGGCGTATACAAAAATCACGTGTACAAAACACATGATTGAGTTAAAATCGTTTTTCTCAACCTTTTTCAATAGACAGACATTTATTTATAACGAACGTTAAATAGTTTTAAATAACGAATCCGTGAAATAACATACGCATTAATATTTATTTACCTTTTTTTATTTCGTATTTTTTTAAAATAATAATTAACGTAATAATAATAATAATAATAATAATAAATTTTGTTTTAAAAAATAATAAATAAATAAATTTACCGCCGTTTTTTGTTTTTGAAACTTTTTAATATTATTTTTTATTGTTGTTTTTTTTTTTTTTGTAAATTCCTCGCGTGTGAGTGTACGTTATTAAAAAAAAAAAAAAAATGATGATAATATATGATATATTTATAATAATAATATTTAATATTAATATAAACGTTTTGTAAATATAACATATGAAATCTAAATTGAAAACAAAAATCGCGAGTGAATTTTGTAAGGAAATTCTTAGCAAGAGAAGAAAACGAATCATGGAAAATCAAAGGTAATGTGACTTGTAATTATCATCATCATCATCATCATCATCATCATCATCATCATCATCATCATCATTATCATCATTATTATTATTCTTTACTTTTTCTAAAATATTTCATTTAATATCCTCTGTTTTTGTTTCATTTTGTTTCGTTTTTGTTTTCTCCAAAAAAAAAAAAAAAGTAACCGGAAAATTTTGGAAAAGGGTTAATGATAATAATAATAATAATCCTATCGTTCATCTCGTAAAATTTTCTCTATTTTTTAAATTAAAAAAAAAAAAAAAAAAAAAAAAAAAAACATGGCTCAGGCACACTCACACACACACACAAAAAAAACATTTGAATAACAAATAAATAAATAAATAAATAAATAAATAAATTGAAAAAACATTTATGACCGAAAAATTAAAAAAAAAAAAAAATCATTAACGTCATCATCATCATCATCATCATCATTTTATATTACTATTATTATTATTATTATTTAACTTTGGGTCATTGTTTGATTAAGTAATTCGTCAATACTTTTCACGGTTTCGATAATTTTGTATTTTTTTTTTTAAATACGGAAGATTTTAATAAAATTTAAATGACGAGTCGTTCGTTTGTTTATTTCGGATTCAAAACAATAATAATAATAAAAATAATAATAATGATAATAATAATAATAATAATGAGAATATTTTTCGTAATAATTTTCTTTTTTGCATGAGTTTCCTCGATAAAATTTAATAATAGAACTTGGGTGGGAAAGACTAAAATAATTTTTTTTTTTTCTTAAAAAATTTACTAGAGAATAAAATAAAAATAAAAAAAAACCGTTCGAACCGATAGCAGACGACATTTCGTGACCGTTAAAAAAAAAATATATATATATAATTTTAAAAACGAGTCGTTTTTTTCCCTTTTGTTTCCCCTACGAAAATTTAAATTTTAAAAAACAATAAATAAATAAAATTCTTTTTATTTGCATGTATATATGTAGAAACCATTATTATTATTATTATTATTATTATTATTATTATTATTATGTACATAATGATAAATTACTACAGTCTTAGGTCAGAAACAAAGTTTAATAAAATAAGGGAGGGGAAAAAAAAAGAAGAAGAAGATAAAATCACGTTGCTGAAAACGCGACTACTCTTCTCTACTCTTATTGTATAACATTTAAAACTGTATCCTTTATCATTATTATTATTATTATTATTATTATTATTATTGTTTTATTTGTATCTGATATTATTCGAGGAAAAAAAAAATAATAATAATATTTCCAGATCTGATCTCGATCAACAAAGCGAAGCGGAAACGCATAACACAAAAATATCAGATTCCGGATATTCGACCGGATGTTCAAACAGTCAATCTCAAAGAAGGTAAAACCTTACATAAATTTTCCGACTTTTATAATTCCCCCCCAAAAAAAAAATAAACCGTTAAAAAAAAATTATTATTATTATTTTTTTTTTGAAGCGGAAGTTCAAAATCGATACATAGTAATTCAGGTTCGAGTAATAGTAGCGGTTATGGGGGACTCCCCGTTGCATCCGATGAATTTCCACAACCCCATTCGTCAAAATTTAAAAACAAAGATCACAAAAAGAAAAAAAATAAGACGCAAGAAACGATAAACGGTAACGAATGTAAAAAAATGGAAGATTCCAATGAGAAAACGACAAAGGATATAAATTCCGATTTGACTGGAAGATCACCGTCCATTAACAATCCCGTATCATCGACAATAAATAACACAAACAACAACAACAGCACAAACAACGCAAACAGCAACAGCAACAACAACAGCAATTCCATGACGGGAATTGTCGTCAATGCAAATTTAAAAACGGGAAAAAATACCAACAACATGAGTGGTACCAATTGCGAAGCTCTTCATTTGGCAACAGTGGCTCAAACATTAAAATCCATACAAAAAATTCGAAATTCTGGTAATCAATCAATCAATCAATCAATCAATCATTCATTTAACTTAATCACATTTTATTTACAACATACGCAAAATTTTTCCATTTTCGATTTCTAACAAAAAATTCAATTCATAATTTTTCCAGGCTGGAAAAGTGTATTTTAAAAACAAAACAAATTTTTTTCTCCTTGTTTTCCATCATCAAAAGATTATTAAAAATAAATCGCGTATTATTATTTGCTCAATTAATTAATTAATCAATTTTATTTATAGAAATAATATTTTCTAGAAAAAGATGGAAGCCATTCAAATTCTTGTTAAAATTTTGTTGTGCAATCTTTGTAATTTTTTTATATTTGACAAGTCTCGTTGACAATAAGCGTGCTCTCTCATATGTAAATATATAAAACACGAGACTTTATTTATTTATATAAAAATTTATCGTTATTGTTTATCTTCTGCTTCTATGTTTTTCTTTTAAACCCCCCCCCTCTCCCCGATCGGTTGTAAAACACGTGATGAGCTTTTAATTTTTTTTAAAAACAAATTCAAAAAACAAACACGTTAATATACTAACTAACTAACACACGATGAGTGTTTGTTTGTTTGTTTGTTTGTTTGTTTGTTACGTCATTTCGTGTGTCCATGTAAATGTTTATTCGGTTAATAATTTACCTTCGTTTTGACGTAAATGCATCTCTTATGTAGTTAATTTGCAAAACATGGACCGTGTCGTGGGCCACGATTCGAATTTGATTAAATTTTTTTTTTTTTTTTTTTTTTTTTTTGTAAATCATGAGTTTGTTGTGCAAGTGGAAGAATTTAGAAAACAGTTTAAGGAAGCCATGTTCCAAAATGTTCTTCTCCCCATATAAACAAGAGAATTTTCCGATTCGTTTATAACAAATTATTTAATATTACAGATGGTGAGTTAGAAAATAATTTGAAATCATCCATCGATTTAGAGGAAACAATAGAAACACCCGAATCATTATTCGATAGATTAAAAAGAGAACCTTCGACAATCGTTAACGGACAATTTTGTTTGGCTGTATCAATGCAAGATGGAAAAGTACTATATACAACTCCAACACTTACCGATGTTTTAGGTTTTCCATGCGATATGTGGATAGGTCGATCATTTATTGATTTCGTTCATCAAAAAGATAGAATCGCATTCGTTAATCACATAACAGTTGGTACGTTATCATGAATAATCGGGCTCCCCAAAATAATAATAATAATAATAATAATCCTATAATTGATAATGTATCGTTAGGAGTCGCCGGTCCGATGGTATCCAACGCCATTCCTCAACCTTTTGGTAAAACCTGCAAAATGTCAAACAATACATTTTTCTGTTGCCTTCGTAAATATCGCGGATTGAAAACTTCCGGTTTTGGTGTCAAAGATAAAGCCGTCGAATATGTACCGTTTAAATTATCTCTTTCGTTTAAAGAAGTCAGAGGTGAAATTTCCGACACTCTTCTTTTCATCACAGCAACACCCGTTAAAACGGCATACAATCGTGAGTATTATTATTATTATTATTATTATTATTATTATTATTATTTTGTGACGTTATTACGACGATATTTTAATTTTCACGTTTGACGATCGTTAAATACAAAAAAAAAGGAACGGTCGGTCACGTTGTGAATAATATAAAAGACATATTCAATTAATTCAAATGAAAAACGTTTTAAAAAAATTTTCCTTTTATTTATATATAAAGAAAATTTTTTTGTATTGCGTTATTATTATTATTAATTATTGGATTGATTTAAATAGGACCAGATGAAGTGAGAGATGCTCCAAAATTCGTTACAAGACATTTAGCCAACACGTTATTAATTCATGTCGACGTGGAAGCTGTTTCGTATTTAGGCTACCTACCTCAAGACATGATAGGACGATCCGTATTTGATTTTTATCATCCGGAAGATTTGCCATTATTAAAAGAAATTTATGAATCTGGTAAAATATTTTTCCCCTAATTAAAAATTATCACGATTAAAAATTTTTAACGGTTTTTTTTTTTTAAACGAAAAAAAAAATTTGATTAGTTTTAGAAGTGCAAGGATCGACGTATAAAAGTAAACCATATCGTTTTCGAACTCAAAATGGAGGTTTTGTTTTATTAGAAACGGAATGGTCAAGTTTTATAAATCCCTGGTCGAACAAATTAGAATTTGCCATTGGACAACATAGATTATTAAAAGGACCACCTAATCCGAATGTTTTTTCTACGCCCGACGATCATTCGCAAATTTCTGAAGAAGTGAGTAGACCTTTCTGAAAGTCTCATGACAAATATAACAAGTTACAAATTCGTGATTTGTGTAGGTTATGAAAAAAACCAAAACGATTCAAGATGAAATCAAAAGAATATTAAGCGAACCGATTTCTAGAAGTTCAGAATCGGCAAAACAACAAGTTTCGAAAAGGTGTAAAGATTTGGCAACGTTCATGGAGTCGTTAATGGACAAAATAACAAAATCGGATCAAGGAAAATTTGGTGAAATTAAATTAGAAGATGCTAGTTTTTCGGTACGAGTACATTTTTTTTAAAAAAATATTTTCGGTTAAATATAAAATATAACGGATTGCTGTCGAACAACAGGAAAGAGATTCGGTCATGTTGGGTGAAATATCACCTCATCACGACTATTGCGATTCGAAATCATCCTCGGAAACGCCACCAAGTTACAATCAGCTCAATTACAATGAAAATTTACAACGTTTTTTCAATAGTAGACCAAGAACGATGTCGGCAAGCGAAGAAAATTTCGATATAAAAAATACATCACTTTTAGAAGAAGAAGGGAAAACATCACCGGAAGTGGTCAACAACAATGGGTAAAATTTTTTTTATATCAACCCGTTCAAAAATGAAATTATTTTATTTTATTTTTAGCGTTATTTGCAACGTTACCTTTTTCCTCAGCAAATGCAGATCTCCGATTAACAGAAGTGGTACTTGTTCCGGAAGTGGTTCAGGACTGAGTAGTGCATCCAATTGTATTAATGGTACCAACAGCACCGAAACGAGTACTTCGAAGCAACAAGATTACGAGCCAGTCACAGTATTAACAGAAGCGGTATTATGCAGGTAAAATTCGAATTTTCACTTACATGATTTTCCCACGAACCTAAAAAGAAAAAAAAAAAAAAAATTAATTTATGTGTGTAGGCATAACGAAGATATGGAAAAAGTTTTGATAAAACGACATAGAGACTTGAGAGTAAAAGATGGTAAAATAAACGAAATACGTTTGAAAACGGTTATTGAAAAACTACAGGTATGAAAATAGCCATTTTTTTTTTTTTTTTTTTTACGTCGTGACATGGCGACTTTTTAAAAATCATTATTATCTTTTACGAAATAGGATCACTGCCATGGAATTAAACGAAGCGGTTCTTTATCGTGGGAAGGGAATAAAGTTTCCAAACACAGGCACACGGAAACAAATGCTCAAAATTCTTCAAAGAATAATATAAACCCGGGGAATACGATAAAAAGACCAGAAGTTTCGATTAAAACAAACGTGGACGATGGAAACAGTCATCAAGTATTTAAACAAAATCCAAATAATGTTAATTTGTGGCCACCATTTTCGGCTACAACATTTAATCAACCTCTTCCTTCTCACGCGTGAGTAAATTTATTATTATTATTATTATTATTATTATTAAAAATGTTATAAAAATGAAAATAAATTATTGTTTTGAATCGATTGGTGTAAAAGTTATAACTATAATAATTATTATTATAGAACTTATACGACAAGTAGCAGAGGAATGCCCGTTGCTGGAATGATTCCAGTTTATTATATAGCCACAAATGGAAATCCTTCAATAAATGTTTCACAAAATAGTGTTAATATCAATGGAAATGAAATAACCCAAAATGAACATTCAAGCCCTTCCAGTCCTCTCCTAATGGGAGGTAATACATTCATGCATCAAAATAAGCTAAGTATGGGTTCCAACGTTTCATAGCTCATTTCGAGTTAGAGGCGTAGAAAAAAATTAATTTATCTAATTAATTTAATCTATCTGGACCGATATTTAGTGGAATAAATTATACCTGTATGCCAAAAGATTTAATATTAAAATTTTGCTCAGTTAATCAATAATAAATTCTCAAGTAAAAAAAAATATAAAAAGTTCCTCATATACAATATTAAATAGCCTTATCATAAAAAGAAAATTATTAAGGCCTTTATTGAATTTAAAATTAATTAAGCAATTAATGTTCTTTTGACTGTAGGTTTGAAATTTTTATAAATAATAATAATAATAATTTTGGATCATTTGTTAAAAAATTTTTAAATGATTTTTTTTTCCAGTACAATTTATGAATGCGTTTCCAGTTTATCCAACAATGGGATTTGGTACACCTTCGCTCATGTATTCTCCTCTTATGATGGCACCACAAATACCACCTAGACATCAAACCCAAGCTCAGAGTAGTAAAAATACCAACGAAAATGAAAAAGAATCTGTCAAGTTTCAAAGACCTGCATCTCAAGCAACTAGTGTTAAAGCAGAGCCAGGATCAGCCATGGGAAGCATGGTAGTAATTGATTCACATTTTAATTTAAATTAATAATCAATTTATTTAATAATTAAATAAAATATAAATTATCATAGGTATTGTCAGAATGTTCTAAGAAAGAAGAGAAATCCATTGGTTCACCAGATGTGGATGATTCCATGTGTTTTTCACAAAATAAAGAAAATTCAAAGGATGTTTCTGAGTGAGTTATAAAAAAAAAAAAAACATGTCTGACTTTAATAATTTAACATTTAAATTAACTCAATGGGTTTTATTCAGTCTACCCAGAGACACAGGAACCGGAACTGGAGATGAAAGTAGTTATTCATCATATTCATCATTTTTAAAAACTGATGATAGTATGAGAAGTTCCGAAGAAACGGAAACAGGATTATTAAGAAAAGATGGTGGTGATTGGGATGATATAAAAAAAGATAATATTATTTCCAGGCCAGTTAGAAAGGTAATTATAAATAATGATAATTAAAAATCACATGGAACACAAAAAATGAATTGACATGATATGAAATGAAAAATATTTTTTTAGGAACCACCATGGCTTGAAAAAATAAATCTCACACCAGATTTAGTATTTAGGTATCAACTTAACAATAGGGAAGTGACAAATGTTTTAAAATCAGATTTGGAAGTACTTAAAACAACAGATCAACCTAAATTAGTTGATGAACAACTTCAACAATTATATGTAGATTTAGAATTGGAAGGTTTATCAGCAAAATTAAAATTTGAAGAATGTTTGACAACAAGCAGTTGTAGTAGTGGAGAAGAATTGCAAGGAGCTTGCCTACAAAAAGTATGTCCAAAATGAATTTCTACTAATATTAAAGAAAAAATTTAATTAATTTTTATTTCATGTAACAGAACAGAAGGAAAAAAAGACAACAAGATCTGGCACACTTTGTTATGATATATGATGAAAATATGCCTTTGCCATCACCCTCAAGAGCCACCGTTGTAACAAATTAAATTTATTTATAAAAAAAATTATTTCTTTGTTTTGTATATATAAATAATAAAACCTCCTTGCCTCTCTTGAAAAACAAAAAAATAATAATAATAATTTACAATTTATAAAACAAACATTGTAAACATTTTGATTTAATTGTTGTATTTATATAAATTTAATTAACTTTTATTATATTTTATAAACAATAATTATTATTATTATTGTACTCATAAATAATTTCTTTTTTTTACTGATATTTTTTTATTTATTTATTTATCTATCTAATAATATTATGTGCATAAAATTTTTTTTTTTATTTAATAAAATGTAAAATAAAAGAAGGGTAATTGAAAATTTAAAAAAAATTATGTAATATTAAGTTTTTACAATTATTTATAATTTTGTCATGAATAAATTTTATGAGCCTTAAAAAAAAAAAAAAAAATTTTTTTTGAACATTACCCTTCCTAAAATTTATTTATAATATCTTTATATCAGGTATAAAAATATGTTTGATTTCATTTTATTTTATTAATAATTATTTAAAATTTGAAATTATTAATATATATTGATTATTTTGATTCTTATTTTAAAATTTATTATAGCCATTAACAATCAAGTTATGTTATACATTATAGGCTTTGATTTTTTTTTGATATTTAGATTTTTTAAATGAGTAATAATGTAAAATTAGATCAAAACATTTACAATGATATCTTTTACATAATTATCAATAAAATTCAAATTTTAAAAAACATTTTTTGAAATATAATGAGAAAAATCTTAAAAATTATTTGATTAAATATGAATTTGTAAAAGTCCATATTTGTGGAAAGACAGAGAGTAGTGATAGTTAGAATTAAATAACAAAAAATGTTTTTTTACCTTTCAAAAAGTTGATATTTGAATACTTTCCTAAAATAAAACACTTTTTAAATATCTTTTACTTTATAAATATCTTATTTTAATAGAAACTATAAAGTATCCTTTCAGGCGCGTTTTAAAAAAAAAAAAAATGGCCAAACGGAAATTGAGAATTTTAAATTTATTTCCGTTAAAATGGCTGACCAATGTTTCTCTGTGTTGATTAAGTGATTTTATAATGTGTGAAAGAAACTGAATTCAAAAAAATTTTTTATTAATTCCATTATTTAAAAAAAAAAAAACTATGAAAACAAATAAAAAATTAGAAAAAAATATTTATCTACTTTTGAGGTAATAATAAATACAATACAACGGGTTCAAAATGATGGAAACAGAAAATTCCTCATCGGGCGTCAATGCCAATAATTTAGGCTCATTACCAGATTTTTCGAAACCTCCGCCTGGCATGGATCAAGCTTTTACTTCCTCGAATATTAATTTAACTCCGAATCGTTTACAAGCTTCGATTCAAAACCAAAATCAAAAGTTTCGACAACCTTTTCGACCACAGCACAACAATAACATGTTGAACAGCCTTCCCGATGATTTCGATGGAAAACGTCTTCGTAAATCTACTATGAGAAAAACTGTTGATTACAATGCAGCCATAATAAAAGTTTTGCAAAATAGGGTTTGGCAAAGAGATTACAGAGACAGAAAAGCATTGCAACCTGATGTTTTATATTTACCTGAAGTATTACCTCCTCCTGGTTATAAAGATAATCCAATTAATGCTGTGACTACAAAGTTTGTGAAAACGGCAACTAATAAAATGAGATGTCCAATATTTTGTATGGCTTGGACACCCGAAGGTAGAAGATTAGTCACAGGAGCCTCAAGTGGAGAATTCACATTATGGAATGGTTTAACATTTAATTTTGAAACAATATTACAGGTATGTTGAATTTTCAAAATGAAGTTGCTAATGTAACGAGTTGCTTTGAAAATAACAATTTAAAATTAATAATGTTTGTTCAATTTTAAAAAATCAAAGAATTATAACCGTTTCTCTCCTTCATTTTATTACAGGCCCATGATAGTCCGGTTCGATCGATGGTTTGGTCAAATAATGATGCCTGGATGATAACAGGAGATCATGCTGGTTATTGTAAATATTGGCAATCGAATATGAATAATGTTAAGATGTTTCAAGCTCATAAAGAAGCAATTCGAGGCCTCAGGTACATTTTTATTTTTTTGATTTTATATTTATCAATCAATCATAAAGTGCCAAAATCAAAAAAAAAAAAAAAAAAAACTAGTTATATGCTTTTAATTTTTTTAAAGTGTAGTTTCAAAAAAAATTTAAAAGTATTAAATTTAAATTATTCTTTATCCTTTTTTCCTAAATTTATATTAAATAAAAAAAAAAAACAATATACAAAATCCTTTACTAAATCTTTTCCTTCTTACATTTCTGAGGGTTTTTTAAATCAGGCCTATGATATTTTCGTAAATTTGGATTAAAAATTTAATTTGAAAAATTCATTTTTAGTTAATCATTTTTCATTATTTAAAACTGTTTATTATCTTTATATATAATGATAGTCATATTTCTTGATGAGTTTTTTTTTTTTTTTTTTTAACTACAGCATTAATTGTTTAATATATATTTGTACATTAATAAATTTATAATAAATGCAGTTATTAATGAATGTCATAAATGTTATCTAATTAAGATAACATTAAGATAAAATAAATTAATGCAAACATCATTTATTTATTTATGACAAAAAAATTTATTATCTTTCTTGTATATTTTTAAATTTTTTGGAAAAAAAAAATAATAATAATAATAATAATAATAAAAATAAAAATTAATATATATCCATCGATCCTTTCATTCCACATTATTATTATCTAGTCGTTGTAATTATTTATTTATCTATTGTTATTAATAAAACCGAGTGATTCTTTTGTTAATTGATTGCCATTAAAAAAAATATTTATTGTACAAAACTAAAATTTGTTCAATAAATTATATTTATATATTTTTTTAAATTTTCTTTTTTTTAATGTTAAATTTTTTTTTTGTTATTCGATTACAATAATTAGAAAATAATTTCCATCGAATCCCTTTTTTTTTTTTTTTTTTTTAAATAAAATAATATGTTAAAATGAATGGAAGACGATAGATATATAATGATTTATTATTATTATTTTATCATTAATTATTAATATAAGTTAAAGTTTAATTTTTTTTTTTTAAAGGGAATTTTATTGATCATATTTTTTCATTTATAACTTATTATATTTAAGGTGTTCATACCTTAAATTTTTTTTTACCTAAATTTTACCTTTCCTTATTATCAACAATCAAAACTTTCTTTTCTTGACTTTCTTTAACTTTATTAAAAATATTACATAAGATTTATTTAAGTAATTATAATTGTCCTAAATTAATTCAATCAATAAAATGAAAATTAAAATAATTTTAAATTTTTTTTTGGATAAAAATGAATGATTTTGGACCCATTTTGTTTAGCTTCAGTCCAACGGATCAAAAGATGGTGTCCTGTTCTGATGATGGAACACTTCGGGTTTGGGATTTTGCAAGATGTCACGAAGAAAGGGTATTAAGAGGCAAGTTGATTATTTTTTTAAATTAAATTGTATTCTAATTGTGGAGTAATAAGTTCACCAACTAATTTTTTTATGTATGATAAGGTATCACGGTTAATTTAAGGTATTTTGCACACGAACCATCGTTTTCCAATAGTGTATTATGAATAAGATGGTGTCAATGATTAGTATGTGTAAAATAATAATAATTTTTGACAGGTCACGGGTCGGACGTTAAATGTTGCGATTGGCACCCACAATTAGGAATCATTGCATCCGGGAGTAAAGATAATCAACAACCCAT